AGCCAAGACATGTCCACTGGAGAGATCACACCAGAGATCCACCTGATGATGGGAACACCGCCACTGTGTCTTCATCGGAAAGGGGCCCAATTGGCAGTGAGCCGCAACGAAAAAACAATCGATCGGCTCTATTGGATGTGCCCTCTGCAAGGAAAAGATCAATGCGACTTCTTCGCGTGGACAGAGCATCAGCCCCTGATCAAAAGGACAGATCACAAGGTTGGGTGCAATCACCTCTACACAACCAAGGCCGGAACGAATGCCTTCAAGATCCAAAAAAGATGCCTGCAATGCCACAAGATCATCTTTGAAGAGAAGACTGCGCTTGGCGCGGCCAAGGCTTTAGAGAAGATATCGCGGAATGCACATATGCACCGCCATCAGGGCTAGGTAGCTTGACACACGAGCCCGTCATCGAGCGATACCGATTGAGTGCTGATAAGGCAAATGATGAATTAGTAATTAAAAGTTGCTGGCCCGGTATCTTGAGACAGCAGGACCTCCTTGCTTCAAAAAGGCGTTAAAAAGGGCGATGCTTCAGTAGGACCTTCTTGCTGTCAGGCGACGTAACAATTTACGTGTGCTTGGACGTTGTTACTTGTCCGGCCAGGCCATCTGCTCCGCTTGTCGGAGGCTTTGAACCACACATCAGACAAGTCCACTCTATAGTACAGCCTGAACATTGTGTTGTAAACCAGATTTTCTGACAGAGCATTTGTTGAATTTAAGTCGAATGTTCTGACTTTGATTTTCTGAATCAGAGTTATTTTCGGACTATGATGTTCTGATTGAGTATTTTATCATTGGGTTTCTGTGATTTTCTGAGCATGATAGTTAAGTTACTATTTCTGAGTTTGATTTTCAGTTTTGCTTTTTGACTTTGATTTTGTGAGTGACGAGATGATGCAACTTCCCCGCTTGCAAGGTGTTGCCCACGGCGGTGCGCTCTGCTCTCCCCCAGGTCACGGACTCAGACTGTCAGTCAGACATGATGCTTCAGATAAATTGGCTGTTTTTACAGAAGCCTTCAGTCATGTTCACATTCAGAGGCCTTCATTACAAATTCTTAGTCTTTTTCATTCAGATTCACTGTCCTTTTCAGGTTCACATTCTTTTTCATTCACTTTCAAGAAATTGTTCATTCAGATTCACAAGAATCTTTGTCACATTCAGACTTACTAATGTTTTGCAAGCAACCTTGAACTTGCATTGATTCATGTATTTGCAGCAGTTTTGTGGTCAGCTACCGGCCCTGCCCACTGTCAAACAAATGTCAGTCATGTGTTCTCAAGCTAAATGGCAACGTTCCACATCAACCACTCAACACATCACACTTTCCACTGTCATCATTTTCCGACACTGTAGCTTAGGGCAATTACTGACCTTTTTAATAGCCTTCCTCTCAGCCATGCAGTGCCCGGCATGCGACAGACTGTTGCCAAAAAACTTCTTCGCAGATTCGTTGTGGAGGTGGCAACAGGGTGGTGGCCCTGAGCCCGATTGGGTGTGGTGCTGCAGGGCATGCGAGCTGCAAAAGCCGGTGGATCAGTTGGAAGAAATTCCTCTACCAGTTCAAAAAACTGGAGCGCCACGGTGTCCCAGAACTCCTTGAGGAATACTCCCAGGTTCATCGTGCCTCGCTCATGTTCAATGATTTGTCGGATGGTTCAATAGTTTAAGTCTGTATTGGTCGGACACATTTTCCATGACAAAACGCCACGATGTTGAATCTGTGTTGACTGTGTTGCTTCCTTTTTCAACCAGGGCAACGTCAACCATGATGCGTGGCACCTGCGTGCTGATGCACCTCGGCTGGGCCACAAAATCCCGGCTTTGCTGTTGCGTCTGCTGGGATGCAATCACTTCGACACGCCTTGTGGAGGCGGAAGGTGGTTCGAAGCGTTCATGGAGCACTCGCGACAGGCCAACTTGGACGATGTGGCTGACGCGATGGAGAAAAGTGCTTGGTATCTGTGGCAGACTTTGAAGTACAGCTCTTATGACCACAATGAAATAGATGCCATGATCACGATCAGCGTTCAACTTCACAGCCTCGAGAAGGAGATCTG